TTCCAAAGGGGGTGGGGCACCCCGCCCCTAGCTGCTTCCCCCCAGCAGCAGGGAGACGCGAAGGTAGCGCCCCCCCCCCCCCAGCAGACCAGGGAAGACGTGGAGCGGCTTCTCTCAGCAGACACCTCAGCTTGAGAATAAAGGACTGAGGGAAGTGAGGTGTGGGAGAATAAAACTGAGCTCTAGAGAAATGTTTGGCTAGAGTTTCCCCTACAATATGTACCAGTTCCGACTTACATACAAATTCAACTTAAGAACAAACCTACAGTCCCTATCTTGCACTTAACCCGGGGACTGCCTGTAATATGTAAATCACCATCCTATCATCACACTGAGACTGTACCAGATACACACCATTTACAACACAGTAACCACTTTAGTCAATTAAGTCATTCTATGAATGACTTGGGGGCGGGGGAGAATGATTTACTTATGCTCTTCTCAAAGAAAAGAGATTGCAGCTTAAGTATGTAATGCACAAATGGAGTAGCTCCATAATGAATTTATTTAGCTCAATAGCATCCTGGTTCCCTTTTAAAAAAGGGGGGGAAAAAAGTCAGGCAGGCAGCTTGCACTTTGGCAACGGAGGCTGGTATTTAATAATCTACCTTGTTAATGTGGCATGGAGGAGCAACAACGCCGGTTCTCTAGTTCAGAGGGCAAGAGAAAGTTTTGGCTACGTCTGCAAGTCTGTCCTCTAAGAGGACTTCACGGGGAACACTGTGGGCAGTTTCATGGCTTAATTATTAAAATGCAGGGGTCTTAGAAGACCCCCAGTGACCGCTTAAAGGAACCTATTGACATCTAGTGGATCTCGTGAAGAATTGCAGCAATGCCAGAGGAAACTTCTTGGCTCCCGGACACCTGCTCTTTGTGCCTATGCTCTTTAAACCCACCAGCTCGATCCATGTGTTTTTTCAGAATGAGTTTGTAACACGGCTGACTATCCGCATAGCTCGCGTCCACACATGTATAACAGCCACATGGTTAGAAACTAGGCCTCTGGTCAGTGTCCCAACCCTGCCTGTGACCAGGGCTGGAACGTAACCCTCAGGCCATGAGTAGACAAGACCACAAATCAACAGCCGTGCAGTGAGCTTAGCCATTTTCTCTCAAGTCATCCCTACAGTGGAAGCCATTCTAAAATACAACACACACTGCTCCTCCTGCAGCCGCTGAGGGACACATGCAATAGTTACAAGGTTTCTCAGCAGGGGTGGATACAAACACCACTGAGAGGGGGCAGGGGAGAAAGGGACAGACTGAGGCAGCGGTGTCGGAAAAAGCACTGCTGTGCGGACATGCTGAGTTGCACTGACTGTAACTGTGTTTAGCCTGCTCACACGACAGAGAAGACAGACGATGGTCAAGATACCAGCTACACTACAGGTAGAGTCTACACTGCAGTCTTGGGCACCACAGCAGCTCTTGGAGACAAGCCCAAGCCCACAGGAGCTAGCTCAGACTCTGCAGCAGAAAAGTTGCAGCATTGGGGCTTACAACGCAACCCAGCCGCCAAGGGCCCCGTGGCCTGCAAGCTGAGCCCAGCTAGTGTGGTTTCGCCGCACAGGTACTGAAACTAAGCGGTGATAGAGACGCAGCCGGGTTAGTCTGGTGTAGCTGAAACAAAAAGACAGGACTATGCAGCACTTTAAAGACTAACAAGATGGTTTATGAGGGGATGAGCTTTCGTGGGCCAGACCCACTGCCTCAGATCAATATGTGGAAGAAAATTGGCACAACCACATATACCAATCAAAAAAAGTGAACTAAGCATGTGAGAGCTAGCATAGGGAGGAGAGTCCAGCAACTGATTGTGAATACACTGGGACATCATCCCCACCCAGAGAGGGGTCACACGCACGTACCCCAGAGAGCCAGGGGAACAAGCCAGGTCTGCCTCCCATGGAATCCAATGCTCTAGCCACTGGGTCCCACTGCCTCCTTACACGAAGGTCTCCGCCCCGTTTCCTACCGGGCGCCGGCTGCTGCCCTCTCCCTCCGGCCGGGCTCGGCTCCCCCAGAGATGGAAGCGGACGGAGGCGGGTTCGCTCTGCGGGGGAGTTTTGGGGGCTCGCTCAGAG